TTTTTCCCCCCCCTTTCTAACCTGCTTCTACTAGATAATTTTCACACTCTGTTCTCTAGGAAACGAAAGCCAGCGGCGTAGTTTTCATAAATACACGCTCCCGGTACGCAGGTCTCTCCCGCCGTGTCCTCGGTGCACGTGGAGAACGCGCCCCTGCTTCTTCATGTAGCATCACTTGAGAGCTGCTGTCCCGTAAGGGCATGACCCCCTCTCAAGCAGAAGTGTAGCCAGAGGTTCTTGCTGGTTCCCTCGTTATATCTCTTCTGTGAAGAAACCTTCAGGCATTCCAGACGAAACAGTTATGGTTTGTAAAGGACGTGATTTGTAAAGGTGCAGTGATGCCTTATAAAGAAAACCGTAAGAAGTAAACAGGAAAAATCCAAATCATAACATTCGGCTAGCACCTAAATATCGCAGAAGGGAGAAGTGTGTCTAACCTACCTTTGTCTGCAATTTCTAGTAATAGTTACAAAGTCAGTTACGTTACTAGCAGTTACGCTGTGACCAGTAAATGTAGGCTGAAATATAATTTTGCATTTGGTATCTCTGAATTTGAATGTGTTTTAAGAAGCAGAGTTAGGCTGTAAATGTGCCCCAGGGCTGTGCTGCAAGATGGAACTGGCGTACTCTGAAACGTTTCTTAAGAGAATTCAGTGTGTAAATCCAGGACACGTAAACTAGTATTTGTTGTTTGTTTGTTTGTTTTAAGCAACTGAAGGCTTTTTTTTTTTTGGCTTTCTTTCTCGATTGCTCCATTATCAGGATAACTTCCAGGATTTTGATAAAATTCACAGTAGAGGAGACAGCATGCAACTGATGATTTTATTTCTCTAAGGATCAAAGGAAGAAGAACTTCTGGATTAGATGTTTCAGCATGATGTTTTTGAACTTTAAGTATTTACGAATGATAGGGAGAAAATATTGGGAGAAATGCAAGATATTTGCAGCGCTGCCCAAAATTGTGGTTTTTGAGGCATCATGTTTCTTAAGTTTCCTTCCCTCTTATTTTCAGATCAAAAATGTTCAAAACAGGAAGTTTGACTGGTACCTTTATTTTGTAATATTTTTTTCTCTCTACTTGGGCTTAGCTTAGACAACTGGACTGTTATCACTTGTTCTGCTGATAAAACTAAAATTTAAACTCTGGCCTCTGTGATTCAGCAGCACTTGATTGATTGTAGTTCTTGTTTGAAGGATGTCATTTCTAATGTCAAACGTTTCCTCCCTTTTTCTTTTCTAAGAGCCATGGCAATGACAGGCCCAACACCCTGCTCATCCATGAGTAATCACACCAAGGAGCGAGTTACAATGACAAAGGTGACATTAGAAAACTTCTATAGCAATCTAATCGCACAGCATGAAGAACGAGAGATGAGGTAAAAATCTTTCTTGCTTCCATTCCAAATTGGGTAAGACCCCAAAAGAAATGTTAATTGAATTTTAGCTATCTGGATCCAAAGCGGAAAAAAAAAAAGAAAATCTTTGCTGAGCAGGTACCTAAACTCATGAGGAGGGTACCTAGATGTGGCTTGGCCCGAGGATCCAGAGGCAACTGCTGGGTTCCTGGATCCCAGTGTCGTTTAGGCTGGGGCTTTCTGAGTCTCTGAAACATGCTTGCAAACACAAAAGTGGTATGATGATCATCACGTTTTAAGAAGGTGTATGTTTGATATGTGACTAAGTAGAAACTAACTTTAGAATCATTCGAGTACAATTCTGCAGTAAAAAGCCAGCATTTGGAAATGCTTATCCTGTCTACTTTTGTTCTGTTGCCCCTCCCCGTTTGATGTCTCTGGCTGTAATATTTAAAACTCATTCTTATGGCGTCAGTTTAATTGTGGGTTGTAGTTTGTGATAGAGTCACCTGATGAGGGAAGATGAATCTTTTCAAAGGCAATGAGCGATTGCTATACGGACATCATGTAATGTCATTTCACTGTTAACTTCTTACCTATGAATTAGCTGAATTTATCACATCCCTTGAAATATATCTGTCAAAACATAACAAGTGATTTAACTGAGATGTATTACTTTTGTTTTCCTTTGGCTGGAACCTTCTAATTTGCTGAATATCCTCAAGTTGTAGCACTGGGACTTGGGACATTTTCCCAACTTGCAATGTAGTCTATAATCAGAATTTTCAGAAAGGTTCAGCGTTCCTTCGCTTCCAGACTTACAGCCAAAAAAGCTAACTTGATCCAAGTGGAATGCCTGCTAACTACAGTAACGGCAGAAATGAAGAAGAAATTTAGAAATAAATACCAAGTTGCGTACATATTTTCTCCAAGACTTCAAAGTAACGACGAGAGATTGAGGTCTAATCCAAACAGAAAATATCACTAATTTAATTCATTGCTTTCTCTTTGTATAGTTCTTGCTTTGTGTTATAAGTACTGCTGTCTACTTCCAAGACCTCAATGACAGGATTTTTTTTGTTTGCTTGTTTAAGACCAAGTTTTTTTCTGAAGAAGCATAATGCACTTTGATAAGTTACGTGTTTTTTAACGTGTGCTTGTGGATGTGCCATTTGGACTTCAAATAGCATTGATAAAACGTACACTGAAGTGCATACAGGACCTATTCAGGCTATTCAGGAGAACTTCAGCATTGCTCGGTCGTTCTGAGCTACTTAATGCTGTGTACTGCAGCAGTAGTCCTCTTTTGCTGTCTGAGTCACTGTTTTGAGTGTGAAATGTGGTGACCGGACAGTGCTGACTGGGTACTTAAGTAAGGGCAAATCAATTTAAGGGTGCTAGACTCTGGATGCAGTAGCCTACAATACTATCGCATAGCAGCAGCTGCTTAGTAGCATAGGAAACCGGAAGGGGATCTTGCAAAGAATGACTTGCATAAAAAGAAGGAATTATTTAGTATGCTTTTAAAGTCATACCAAAAAAAACACACGCACAAACCCCACTTCAGCCAGCTATCGATGTGATCAGTGCTGGGAAAAGTTCCCACAAAGTAATCATAACAAATGTTCTCTGAAGCCGTTCTGCCATCTGAAGTCTCATTTCCTTTCCTTCTTTGCCCCCACATAACCATTTTGTACTAAGGACAGAAATATTCTTTAAGAGGAAGAAATATCCTTTAAAGGGGAGAACGCGTACTGACATGTTCCCTCTTCCCAAGTATTTTGAGCATGTCAAGTATTAGGAAGTAGAAACTTTTGTCATTTTGCATATAGTGAGTTTGAGATGCAGAGATACTACAGTGCAGATCCACAAAGGTTTTGAGACAGCTTAATTCTCCCGGGAATAAATGAGACTTCAGTGCTTAAATATTTATATGGCTCTGGCCTTAGGTGACTTGCCCAGCTGTCAAAGAGAAAGCCAAGAACTGAACCCAGATCTCCTCAATCTACGTTCCTATACAGCAAAAACATATATTTGAGGAAGATATGTGAAACTGCAGGCAGGCAAGTTTAACTTTTTGAAATTAGAGAGCACAGGGCTAGAATGGTACAATTGTAAGGTTAGAGTCTTTAAAATTAAACTTATGTCTGATTCTCCTTTGTGTAGCTGATCATTTATACTTGTTATTTACATCCTCCTTTCACAGCAGCACAGCCAGAGGTGTAGGAGGATATGTGCATACGATTAAGAAAAAATGTTAAAGATTGAACCTTTTCTTTCCTAATTTCTGTCTCTGCTTTAGACAAAAGAAGCTAGAACAAATGATGGAAGAAGAAGGCTTAAAAGATGAAGAGGTAATGAATATGGAAAAAATGATTTGTCATGGTTAGATAATACAAGTGATTTTCTTTTCTAAATGGAGATCTAGCGTCTTGGATTGCTGTGATTTATATGGAACCTAACTGCAAAATTCTCACTCTGCCTTTTTTGTAAACTTCAGAAGAGAATCAGGAGGTCCGCGCATGCACAAAAGGAAACAGAGTTTCTTCGCCTAAAGAGAACAAGGCTAGGTTTGGAAGACTTTGAGTCCTTAAAAGTAATAGGCAGAGGAGCATTTGGAGAGGTAAGTCCAGAGAAGATGACTGTTTTCAAGAGGCACTGATACTGGTTTAAAAACGTTATGTACTTTAAAGGAACATTAATGTTGTTGAAAAGGACTCGCTGGGCAAGCTAAATGCAAGTTTGTCAGTGTACTTTTAATTCTGGCTTCTGGGGCTGGTTGTACAGAACAGTGAGACTTGGAGGGCCACTCGCTATTGAGGTGGCCTTTTTCAGGGAAAGTGGCTTTGGACCATCTAATTTAGTTGAGTGGTTGCTGAATGTGTCATCTGTATTAAAATGATTTGATGTCCTAGAATTAACAGAACTTGTATGCCATCACCATGCTCTATGTAACGCTTGTTTTTAATAATCTGATTCAAGAAATAGAAGCCAAATATCTGTTTTAAGGGCCTAATATTCCAATTTGTGAATAGTTGTGGTGATACTGGTATATTTGACTCAAATTTGTGCACGCTTTCCAGGTGCGACTTGTCCAGAAGAAAGATACAGGACATGTTTATGCAATGAAAATATTACGCAAAGCTGATATGCTTGAAAAAGAGCAGGTGAATAACCTTACTAAGTAGCAACATTACTACCCTCGTTTTAGATGCCTTTGGGAGGTTATTGTGGTGTGTAGAGAGGAGTAATGGGTACCTGTAGTCTATGCTTCCCAGCTAAAAACTTGTGCTGATATTTTTTTCTGAGGGAATAGAACATAACAATCTCATATGAATTCATAAGGACGAGTTATCTACTGACTTCTTTCAAGTCTCTCTCTTATTCTTTAGCTTTCTTTGTAACAAATGTAAAGGTTTGAAGAACATATAATTTTCATCTAAATAGGGTTACAGTAGTGGTGACAGGCTATAAATATACACTGTGGTATGTAACTGAATGCTCAGTTGCCTGCAATGCCTGCCTTAGTCTTAATGGAGGAGGCTGCAATTGTAACCCAATTTTCTTAGATGCTCTTCAGTCTGAAGCAGGGTAGGACTGAACTCAGTTTGTACTTGAAAACACGGTGAAGCAGATCATTTTTCTAGGGACTAGATTCGTCTTTCAAATGAAACAAAAGGACAGTTGTGTATATCTGATTTATGTTCCTTTCTGTCATTTTATGATGTACGTTGTACGTACTATTACCATCACATGTGCAAATGCTTCAGATCAGTGGCTTACTGCATTTCTCATTTATGGAATCAGATGTAAATATCAAAGTGGTATGACTGCTGGAATTGTTTTGATTTAATTGACGGACATCCAAAGTAGTGACATTTAACATTTTAAGGCTTCTCTCTGATCATACTTCTGAGAATATAGCGGTCTAAAATAATCATTTCTTGTTCAGCACTGGGATTAATCTAGGAAGCGCTCTGTGTGTGTTCCATAAAAATCAGGAATTGGTTCCTGTTTCTCTTAGTACTTGTTTAAAAAACAAGCAACAGTGGGCTCACACATGAGCTTTATGCAGCACTGCTAAATAAATGCTCAGGTCTAAATCTGCATGAGTAGGTTGAAGCCATATTTGAAGGGCATATTAACTGCTTAGCAAAGAGCTAGTTCTGTAAAGATCAGAAAAATTGGGATATTTTTGTATATAGGATTAACCTGCTTATATAATCAATCATATGTTTCTCAAAACTCTGTAACTTGTATTTCCTATCTATATATGTATGCATTTGATTAATTACATATATACCTCCAGGTTGGCCATATTCGTGCAGAGCGGGACATTCTAGTAGAAGCAGACAGTTTGTGGGTTGTGAAAATGTTCTATAGTTTCCAGGATAAGCTAAACCTCTACCTTATCATGGAGTTCCTGCCTGGAGGTAATTACTTGAAATCAAAAGGTTGCTTTCCTTTTGTTCTGTGGAGGTCTAAGCCCTTAATTACAAGTCTTGTCTTTTATTACTGAGACTAGAGTACCATACAGCCCTGTTTGTACTGGACATTACTTTGTGAAGAAACAAGTCACTCCTAAAGCTTTTTGCTTTTAGGAGTTTGGGTGCTGAGCTCTTTGTTGGGTCAGACCCAAGGTTATCTGCTTCTCTCTGCTAGCTGCAGATGTTTGATGCTTGGCCTTAATGTTCTGCTAGTTATCGTTACTGTGCAATGGCTGTCCATAGAACCATAACCAGCTTTTAATTTTCTATCCTTTTGCTTTTAGCTGGCTTGTCGCAGAAATAACTTTCCAGATCTTTTTGTTCAAAGAGTGAAGGTGTTTGTCCTTGAACGATAATGCTACTGTAGCTCACTTAACAAGAAAATCATATGGAAAACATGTAATATATGTGACTAATGAAACCACAAGAATGCTTTCTGACATGACGCTGCACAAAAGCAGTCTGTTTTCTATAGCAGCTCTGTAGCCAAAAGTATATATTTTAATCCGTGATCCAGTTATGCAGTCAAGAGTGGCTGTCTATAGCTGACTCTTGTTTGAGGGATGTTTCTATACAGGCATTTCATCTTCATGCTATTTAGCTGTCTTAATAGAACTGTAATGCAACTACAGGACAAGCCTTTCCACCTACAGTGATGCGAAGCAAAATACAAAAGTGTGCTAAGTCACATAAGTGCTGGACAACTGTATTTACTACTTTAGAAAAAATTAATTTAGACTTCATGAGTTTTTAATAGCTTAGTTAATTTCTTTGTAAATGTCTTCCATATTAGTGAGACTGGAGCTCACGCATTAGTTCGTATTTACCTTTGCTATTTGTGTGGCTGGCTTCTAGGTGATATGATGACACTGCTGATGAAAAAAGATACCTTAACAGAAGAAGAGACACAGTTCTATATAGCCGAGACTGTGCTAGCCATTGATTCTATTCATCAGCTGGGTTTTATCCATCGGGATATCAAACCAGACAACCTTCTGTTGGATAGCAAGGTATGTACTAATCACTGGCTAATGGTTGAGTAGTAGTAAATAGGTCTTGTAATTTTTAATATTGACCTGAAATAGCGCTGAGATTTGTGAAAGAAGTCACTGCTTATTTCTTAGCCCTCTTTCTCCTAACCTTTGGGGGCACCTCTGCCCTGTCCCGGGGGAAGAAACAAAGATGGACTTCTCCACCCTCGCTTAGGATGAACTTTCTTGTGACAGTAGTTTAAGTTATTTTTGGTTATTTCAGTTGCAATTTAAAACATAGTCAGTTTCATTTCTCCCCTCTTAGGCAAGATGTTTCCTTTTGGTCTCACATCTGTTATGCTCATGCTTCCCAACTATTGAGAAGATGGTCATAGCAAACGTGAAGGATGTAGCTACTACATTAGCAAGCCTGAAAGCTGAGCTGTTCTCTCTCTCAGAATAAGGATGTATTTCTGAAGGCTGGTCAAGTTACATCACAGAATCGTTTAGGTTGGAAGGGACCTCTGGAGATCATCTAGTCCAACCTCCCTGCTCAAGCAGGAGGTTGCTTCTGATTGCTTCTGGATGTTTATTGCAGGCAGTTTGCAGAAAGTGTGACTATTTCATTATCCTCCTATGGATATCCTACATGTTTGGTTAAAATTGGCAAGCTTTTTCCAAACAAGCTAAACGGTAAATGCTTACATTTTAGTGTTAGCTAGCTAATAATGCAGTGCGTGAGTTACCATTTTAGTTCAGTATGTGGACATCTAGACATAGACAAATTCAGGACTTGAAAAATGATGTTGATTTAAAACTTGGAAGAAAAAATTTCACACAGTCAGCATGGTCTTACTGGATTTGTCCTAGTGCATAGTGCAACTGACCTTAAGGTGTTTCTTCCTCCTATCTGGTGGTGTCAAGACACAATCCAGGGACTACAGCTCCCTCTGGAGACGTTTGCTTTCAGTCCGCAGCAGTCATCAGCCCTCAGTCTAAAGCGGTCAGTAGCTTGCAGGAGCAGAGGATTTCTTGGCAGAGAAGTAAATGGCTCCTGGGCTTTCTCTGTGTAGCAATGAAGAAAGTATTAATAGCTTGATTCTGTGTACACATCAAGTCTTAGGCTAAAACAAGAAACGCCAAAACACTGCACATACTTGTTATACAAAATAAAGGAAGGGGACGAAATAGAAAAAATATACTCGTTATGATAATGTCTCATATTAATTTTGTATTTGGGGCCTTTTCATTTCTAGGGCCACGTGAAACTATCAGATTTTGGACTGTGCACTGGACTAAAGAAAGCTCACCGAACAGAGTTTTATAGAAACCTGAACCACAGTCTTCCTAGTGACTTCAGTAAGTCATTTGGCTTCTGAAGCAGTATCTGTGTACTTCTTGGGGATTGACATAACTGATTTCAGTATGAGGTTAGAAGGCTGCAGATGGCGTCTAAAAATCAACCTTGTATCTTAAGGTGTAGTTTTGATTTTCTGTAAAAACTTCTTCATACAAATAATTCCAGTTACTTTAATGTATGCAAGCAGCAGATGTCTGAATTCTCAGTGAGCTATAATAGTGAAGCACTTATACGGGGAACGTTACTTATTTTTTTGGCTGGCTATATTTATATACTGTACCTGTAGTTGTCTAATTAGCTAAACACAGGGCTGAACAAGGCAAACGCTGCTGGAACATTTCTAAGTGCAAGACAGTTACTTAGCTGTTTTGAATCTGCATTTCCAGAAGTTTATCTGTCAAATAGATTTCTGCTGTAGCCCTCCTTACCATGTGTAGTAAACCTCAAATGAAAACTTAAGTGTGACTTGGTAGATGCTAGCTGTATTTCCTATGTTAATTAATAAGTGAGATCAGAGTCCCTTTGAACATTCAGACATTTTCTCAAGGAGAGTAACTTTGATCCTAAAATTAAAAAAAAAAAAAAAAAAGTTTTGAAAGCATGACTCTAATGAAAAAGTCTTGATAACATTTTATCAATAGTACTCAAAATGCATATGTTGCAGTTACAGGTTTGGAAGGTTGAGTTTAGGATACTGACAGATGTGCTCTTTGCAGCCATCTGTACTGGTGGAGGAGGTTACATCCCTTGCTTGCTCTTAACTATTAGCTGCCACTTCCTGCTAGAGGCTACTGATCACTTTGGTCTTCTGGAGCTGCCATGAAGGCGCCCTTAGATTGTTCCAGGTAAAATGAGCAAGGCAGGGTTAAGGCAGATGAACTAGTTCATCTCTGCTAATGTTGCTTATTTTCTGTGAAGTGAATTAAGGTGTGCTTCTACAAATAGCTCTAGCATCTAGATGGTGGTAACCTTTGGCCGTAGGGGCTGGTGATGAGAATCTGGGGACTGTAACCTCTTCCTGGCACAGCTGAATACAAATTGGGTGGTCTGGCTAGGACCTGACTCCTTTTTTCGATGTTGGAAAGGAGATTTTAAGCAGTGCAGTGATTTGGGGGTAAAACTGTATGTGGGGTGACCAGTAAGGAGTCAGTCACATATATTCTAATCCCCTTTAGCTTTCCAGAACATGAATTCCAAGAGGAAAGCAGAAACTTGGAAGAGAAATAGACGTCAGTTGGTAAGTACACTTCACCTGTTTGGAATTACTCTCTGCTGAGCCTGTTGCATTCAAATGGCACAGGTATTTCAGTGACTGGCATTAATTCATTTCAGACTTCTAAACCGTGATGAAAAAAGATGGGTTGTACTGTTCCTCTTAAAGAGGAGTGACTCTAGTTTGCTCTTCACCCATCTACCAAACAGCTGGTGACATATGTGGCTGAGGTACGGGCTGCCATAATTGGTTACGTTGATATATGATGCCTTCTAGCTAAAACTAACTGTTCTCGCCTCTTTCGATATAACAGTAGATTAGCGGCACGTTCTCAGCTGTATGTAGACAATGATAACTTTCCCCATTTCCCTGAAGGTATTTGCAGACTCCTTCACATGAACGTGTTGACTTTGTTTCTACATATCTTGAAATAAAGGCTCTAAACACCTTTGCTAAAGATTTAACAGAGAATCTGGAGTCTTCTTCAAAATTACCATTTTTGCATAAGCTTCCAGTTCCATGGCAGGCAGTTTTCTCTAAAGATATGTAACTGAAAGTATTTTTTTTCAGGCTTTTTCTACTGTGGGAACTCCAGATTACATTGCTCCTGAAGTTTTCATGCAGACTGGATACAACAAGCTCTGTGACTGGTGGTCGCTTGGGGTCATCATGTATGAGATGTTAATTGGTAAGAAATAGGCAGTGCGCTAGCTTTAAGCAGGAATTGTGTTGGAGAATAGCACCTGTCTTTACGTGTTTGGGGTCAGAGTCTCAAAGCAGCCGCTCCTTGCATCGTTTTTGAGGTGTCTTCTAACTGGTGCAGTGCAGATTTTAGTAGCTGTAGGAGCTATTTTTGCTTTATACAAGGTTGTATTTTTCTTTCTTTTCAGGTTATCCGCCTTTCTGTTCTGAGACTCCTCAAGAAACATATAAGAAAGTAATGAATTGGAAAGAGACTCTCACGTTTCCTCCAGAAGTTCCGATATCTGATAAAGCAAAGGATCTTATTTTAAGGTGCCAGTCGTATGGTTTACCAGTTAATATATTACTGATTTTCTTGTCGTGCACACTGTGCTAAATACCTTTCATATTTGGCTTCACATAAAAAAGGCTCTTGCTTAAGCGTGCTACTTAGTTTGTTATGTATACGCATCAACTGCTGAGCTCCCAAATCAAATATATTTGTGTCTTAGAGTTAATTTAGAGGAGCCTTAACTGAACTGTACTAAAAAGGAGCTCCCCTGTAACTGCTGCTAGTTTGGCAAAATCTGAATGTTTCTGCTCTTTATCTTATCAGCAGGCTTCTCTTGGAAGTGACTAAATCTTTTTGCCAGAGCTGGGCTTCTTAGCATAGCAATAATTTTGACACTGTATGCACTGGAGCATACAAACATATCCCAGTGCATGCTGACTCTTGCTCTTTTTTTTTCCCCCTCTTTTTTTTTTTTTTCTTTTGTTTCCCCCTCATGCACCTAATATTTTCAATCACTAATCTGTTCTCAGGACAAAAACATAAATGTCTAGCTTGTTAGGCTTTATATGTTTTCCTGCTCTGTACTGGTCCTGAAAAGGCACACGACCCTGTTGTGAAAGAATACTGCATCTTAATTACGGCATTTCACATGACATTCCTGAGCATAACTTTGTATGTTGTTTTTGAAGTGGGAGTTCTTAACCTTCTCCTTTTATAGGTTGTTAAGAAACCGTAGGAGTGTCAGTTCAGAAAGCTGTTCCATTTCTAAATGGAATGCTTTCGTTTTCATTCTTCCTTCATTTTCATTCTTCCTTCCATCCCAGATTTTGCTGTGAATGGGAGCACAGAATTGGTGCATCTGGTGTGGAGGAAATAAAGAGTAACCTGTTCTTTGAAGGGGTTGATTGGGAGCATATCAGGTAAGATTCCTTGCAGAAAAGGCAGCTGCTCTTCTGTATTGACTCTTTAAAGCTAGTCCTGTTCAGCAGAAATGAGCAGCTTGACTGACATGGGAGGAGTTCTGTATGTTTATCTAGGTGTGGGTGAGAGTAGTGTGGGCCTCAGTCCACATTTGTTAAGGTTTAGGTACCTTCAGTCTTTGAATCTGTTAAGAAATAGAAGGTGTCGAAACCTGCTTTCTTCTGCCTTTGAAATCCTAATGCTGAATCTGTTCTTCTTGGCAGAGAAAGACCTGCTGCAATTTCAATAGAAATTAAAAGCATTGATGACACCTCAAACTTTGATGAATTCCCAGAATCTGATATCCTTAAACCAACAGGTAAACGCTTTGATTCTGCATGTAAACAATCTTTCTTCTTCTCCAGTAGAATAATGCAACTTCCCTGTTACCAGAGAATCCCAAGATCTTACTAGTAAGTAGGATCTTACTATTAAGTCATCTTACTAGATCTTACTAATAATCAATAGTAAGTTCAGAGTAAAGAGTTAATTATGTTCTGCTTTGGGGTGATATAAATGTTAACTTACTGGCAGTGGCTAAACCCTGCAAGACTTTCTGTACACTGAGCTTACAGTGAGTTTGGAGGAAATTGGATGAGGCGTCAAGCTCGTGGGGGTCTGCTGATTTGCTGCGGCACATAAAAGCACAAGTGGCATTGGAAGACAGTTTCGTACTTAAGTCCATGGCATGTCCTCGCTGCTCTTTCACGTGCCTCTTGTTTCCTCTGCCTTACTCAGTAATTGAGCGATGTGGTGCATGCTCTGGTTTAATAGTAAGTCAGAAGTGCAATGCAGAAGTGCCTGATAACTGCATTGGCTTTCTTTAGGATTATGGGGTAAGAGATAAGATAACAGTTGGTATAGTATTGAGCTACTTTCCATGCTGTTACTGTTCATTTCCACAGAGCCACTGGTGTTTAATTTGTCAGAGTTTATGTGCGAGGCTTAAAATAGCAGAGGCTAGATTTAGTATCATTATCAAATTGTTAGCTGGTAGTCTGGTGATGCAGATGTCTGCAAGCTGTAACTCGGGTAGCAGAAGATGGCGTGCAGACTTGGGAATGATGCTGGGAGCCATCTGAGAAAAAGCATCTGTGATGGGCACCAGAGCTCCCAGGAAGTTCTGAGCTCAGCAGGACCTGTGAGCCCAGCTCTGCGAGGTAGTACCTCTTGGCTCTGCCTGAGTCCTTGTTAGCATATCTAACTCCTAGCATGGTGAGGGGGCAGAAGGGGATGATCTGGTTTGGTGTAAAAGTTTTCAGAGGATCCTTGTATCCATGTCAAAATCTATTCAAAACCACGCCTCGCAGCAGTTCTTGGTTGGGCTTGAAGAACAAAACAGAACTGCACTGCCTAGATCTCGGGTGTTTCTTTCTTTAGAAGCATTCTCCTCTCCCCCCAAATCTAGCGTGTTATAGGAAAATAAACTTCGGACTTCAAATGGTAACTCTTTTCTCTTTGTCTTAACAGTTGCCACGAGCAACCACCCAGAGACTGACTATAAGAACAAAGACTGGGTTTTTATCAATTACACCTACAAGCGTTTTGAGGGTCTGACAGCCCGAGGAGCAATACCATCCTATATGAAAGCAGGAAAATAATAAGTTTTTACCTGGGACGACTTCTGAGCCTTGGAATTTTGTTTCTCTACTTTGGGTTTCTACCCATAAAAGAACTTTTTCTTTTTTAAAGAAAACGTGAGGGCTATGGACTCCTGGAGAAGATTTCAGGAGCTGGTTTTGTTACATACCCTGGTTATTACCAAGGATTTGTTCTTTCTGCGCCATTGAAAAAACTTCCACAAAATGTTTCTGTCATCTGTGCTGCAAGCACATTTTGCTGCTTCAGGAGCAAGAGTTTTTCTTTTTAAATTCTTTGCCAGATTGTACAGTCCATCAGGAGATGAGAGCAAGCCTTTACTTTGATGTTGCAAAGCGCGTGATATTTGTATGGACTGTTTTGCAAGTCCTGCATTAAGTGACATACTCAGTTCTGCCAATTCTGCCAGCACTATTTTCCCAGTGACAAAGGACTTTAGTATAGAGAAAATGAAGCAATAATTAAAAGCTTGGGGTAGACAACTCTCCAGTAATCTATCTAGCAGAAGGACACAACTTGTATTGCCTTAACTTTAGTTTGTAGTGCTGTTTTTTGTAATGCTACTTGGAAGCCTCTTTTAATAGCATTTCTTGAATCTTATCGCAATGGCCTCAAGTTGCGGTGCACTTTACTTTTGGTACTAAGACAGCAACCCTCAAGCCATTTAATATTTTTCTAAATTAAAAATTTGTGTAACTTTTTTTTTTCTAAGCAGTGATAAGAGAAACAGGCCTCTTTCGCCATGAAGCGCAACAGGTTTTGGTTACTGCATGGAAGGACGCGTATACAAACAATGCAGATGATAAAAACTGCAGCTGGTAACACAAAGGGCTCTGGAATTAGGGCAGAGAGAGAGAGAGGGAAAGTCATTTAACCTGATCATTGGTGGGCATATTGTGTACAGTTGGGTCAGCCATGAGGCTTCCTGTTCCTGCTGCTGCCATCTTTTGGCCACTTCTAGTACCTGCTGTGTTTTCATCACTTTCAAAGATGAAACCAACTTCTGTGGCCTTTTTGTTCTCAGTTTCCACCAGAGCAGTAACAGTTTTCCTTAAAAGCCTTGGTGACGGTGGCATCTCTGGCTTCTCCTTCCTGAGTCCCTCTTGCTGTCATGGCTGAACCATCTGTCCCTGGAGCGTTCCAAAGAGACAGTGCCTCCTGGGGTCAGTTTTGGGATGTGGGACCCACCACGTCCCTCTTTTGATTATTGCCTAATGTAATTTATAAAAGCACATTCTGTTATGATCAGGACGCTCTCCAGGAGAGCCCCCAAGTGCCTTTCTTTGCCTAAACTTTTCTCAGAACGTGATTGCGTTTTGGGAGGGAGGATTCTGCCTCAGTTGAGCTTTTGGTAATTCCCTTCTACGAGCATGAGCTCTGCTTTGAACCTGTTCGGTAGTTAGCTCTGCACTCCTAGTGGCAGGTGACATTAACCTGTGGGCCTAACTGGTACCAGTCTTTAATTTGCAATTATTATTTCTTTTAATGTAATGAGGTTTCTAAAAGCATGTATCAATTTGAACTGTTTCAGATTCTTACAAACTCTTATTGGTGCTGAACACTAAGTACATAGCACAGACGACAAAAAAATCTGTTTAAAAAAAACCCAAAAACCTAAAGCAGTGTTTCAAAGTGATATGGTAGCTTTTAGTTATATTTAGTCCTAACTTTCTAGGTTAGCAAGTGAAAGAAAATGGGATTATAGTGAAACTTTTTTTTTTTAATAGATGCTTTTAGGGAATTTCTACCTAGATGTCTTTTGAATTGAGTGCCATCATGAAGGACCGATTTGGGGGGGGGGGGGTGAGTGAGTGAAAGTACTGTACATAGCTAAGGCTAGGTGATAACTTGTTAGCGTCCTCTCCCTGAACACCCTTTGTGCTTTTTGTATGTCTTGTAAGAGTTTAATGAATTGCCATAAGCAGTTTAGATAGTGATTTGGATCTGACAAAGCTGAAATGCAAGAACAGCCTTAATATAGTAACCAGGCTCACTGTAGTCAGTAGGGGCTACTCATAAGAATAAGGGCTAACTGAATTAATGATTTATAGGATCAGGCTTTTCATCAATTAGTAATATCGTCTTCTACCCCTCCACTTCCTGTTTTAGTTTTTTAATGAAACTGCTCTGTCTCCTTATCCTGTGGTTTCTTTCAACTATTTGAAAATGTTGCCTTAGAAAACCATTGGAAAACTAAGAGCTGTTAATATCTAAACAATTCTTTCAATTCCGAACAGCTTAGTTACCACTTGAACGTTTAAAAAGCAAAACCCTTTAAAGCTGCTATGGATTAGGAGTAAATGATTTTGAGACAGTAGTTGCATTATTAGCCCTTTACTAAAGGGACTGGTGGTTTTATTTATAAATACCAAAGATGAGAGAAACTATACAATTATAAACTGTGATAACTTGCTGTGGGGAGGAAGAAAACAAAAAAAGTAGTAATATGTATTATGCATTTTTTTACTGCATGTTTTTTAAACTGTCTTCTGCAATCTCAGCTTGTTCACTTTTTTTTTTTTCCATATTATCACCTTTTGAGTTAAAAGCAAAATTTTTCAAAGGCACAAAGAGCAGCTGGGTACCTCACTCCTAGTCTTTCAGTACGAGTCGGCTGTCTTTGAGTATGCTCCTCTGGGAGTCTTGGATATGCTTTTCTATGGGTAGGTTTTCTATCACAGTTGCATCATAAGCCTGCTTCCTATTTCCTAGTGTTGGTAATCACCTGTAAAGAGGACAGTGTCTTCTTTCTAGGATCCATACCTCACTGCTAACAGCATAAGACTCTTGTATGCCTGTTCCATTCCCCCTATGTTAGCCAAACATTTGTATTAGCTGCTAGTTTGTGTGTATATTTTTCATTAGCTGCTAAATCAAGGTCAAAGTATCTTTTAGCTCTTCTTTTTTTTTTTTTTTTTTTTTTTAGCTGTAAGCAGTTTTTTTTCATTTTTTCCGAATAGATTCTTTTTCAGGAGTAATTCCAAGCTAAATTTCCAGTGGATCTAAACGTGAGTTATGCGGCCAGTTCATCTCTGTATCATGCCTAGCACAAAACTGCACTTAAGTGTTTCTTATCACTGTGCCCTGACTCTGCCTTAACATGTAAGTTGAAAAAGTGTTCTGTAAATATTTAAAAGCTGTTACTAAATTGCACTGTAAAATTTGGCAGATGTCTTGTGTGATGCTGGGGGAGCCAACTTTTTATGGAACGATCTTTGCATTGTGTTGTGTAAATAAAACTCTTTAAGTAAACACAGTTTTGCTCACAGGCTTTGTTTTCACAAACTGGACTCCCTCTTGGGGAAGGTTTCCTTTGAATCAGTGACAGACTTGAAAGTGTTTCCAGAATCAACTGCTTGGGTATGAGACTGCATTTCCTAAAGATGCACAGCAGCCATATGAAGAAATACACACCTTGTTAAAGAGGAAGGGCAGTGCTGATCTTCAGAAGGCAGAATGTGCCTGGCCTCTAGACAAAGCTGGGGCTGACCCTGCCCTTACTCATGCTGAAGCATCTGCATTGTGTAAATGTCACATCAGTTTACCAACTTCAGCGCAAGCTGGTTTTTATCCTTTCCTGTTTCTATTTTTAAGAGGGATAATAAGCAGTGAGAAAGTGGTGGTGGAAGTAAAGATATGACCCTTTTTTTTTTTTTTTGAACCAGTTTATAACAGGTCACAATCAACTTGCAGTTCTTATTTCATTGCTTCACATTTTTGCCAGCTCCACTTATGAGTACATGTTTATGTCACCGCCAACCTCAGTAATTCCACTTAATCCCAAATGGGATTCTTATCGCTTTATTCACAAGCTCTAACCCTTTTCTCAGGCTTCAGCAAGAGAGCCCTTAGAACATGTTCCATACTGAAGACAGAAAGAAGATTGAAAGAAAAGCCAGACTTGCCAAACCTGCTCCAAAGCTATTTTCTTCCAAAGACAGAAGTAGGTAGAAGTAAAGAGGTTGTTTTTTTTTTTTTTTCCCCACAGCATGCTAACCAAAAATAGCACTGGGGCCTGTTGTATATGCTGCATAGTTTGTGGGTTAAGTAGTATTGTCTCATACCTGGGCTATGTCTTGTTTTCCAAAGAGCAGCGTGACAACTTGGTAAACTTTTCTGAGGTCCTCTGAGCGCAGATGCTAGTAACGCTTCTGTGCAGCTGCTGCACTAAGTTGCTGCCCAAGGGCCAGGCTTTCAGTCTGATGTGAAACAGTAATTCCAAGACTTTTGGGTCACAAATCACATCTACTTTATGAAGCGAGGAAACAAAACCTTCTAGCAATCCACCCCCTTGTGCACGTTCCTACTCCACATTTAAAATAATTTTAAAAGAGCCAAACAAGCAAAATATAATTTATACTTTAATACAGAAAAGAAACCGTACATCTGCAGGGGTCTGTAAATACTATGGGTAACACTTCAATGTATCTAGAATAACACAAAACTTGACCTTGTACCTGAATGGCAGGTGATGATGAGAGAAAGGGGGGAAAAATGAATGCAGATTTTTTCCAAATTGATTTAGCATTCCAATGGAAGTCGCTCTACTAAAAAAATAAAATCTTAAATTAATCTTTAATAACGGGAAAGCCAATGAAGTAAAGTAGCTTTTTGGAGTGTCAGTAAAACAGTGCATGTAAAGCATGGAAGTAGTATCCCTCCATCCCATGCCGAAGGACCAATTACACAGAGTACTAAATCACTACAAGGTGTTGAGAGGCTTTAAACCCCCCCCCCCACACCAACCC